GTCAGTGAATGGGTTGCCAAGGTTTTAATGGTGTCCACCATAGGTTTCACATGAATTTCGAATCTTGCTTGAAAGCCAGATACTAAACATAATCTTGGACTGTGCAGTACTACCTACAGCTGTTTGCATACTTTCTTGAAATTCGTGAATAAGTCTTGTGATTTCTAGACCACCAATCCTCCACCTACCAAGAGTACCTGGTCTTTACATTAGACAAATTGTCCCACTATCCTTTGTTCATGAGCTTGGTCCAATGGCATCACTGAAAATACATCTTCATCTTTTGCAATATGAATTTTCCAACTTCAGAACTCTTTGGACGTTTTTGGATGCATTACCGGGATTTGTTGCATGTCTCGTATTTGCACAGATAACCATAAGGAATAGTTTGTACAATTCAATGGTGTGAGATGACTGAGGGAGTAATGTACATTTGGAAGCATGTTGACCTCAGACACCTTACAAACACCTGAGTTTCTAAAATAAGTGGCCAATATTTGAACTGATGATTGTGTCCTGCCTTTTCATAAAACCATGAATATTTTTTTTTATCTTCGGAATATTCTAGCCCTTCAACGTATTCATCATAGGTTTGATATTGCAGGATGTACAGGGAGGCTGCCATAACCCAATAAGTATACCTAGTTTGTGTCATATGGGCTGCTTGAAGGTAAATCTACTTTATCTGATGCAACAGTATCCGCCTGAGTAAGCAAATCCGTCCATCTACTTCCTTTTAATCAGGTTCCTGCTGTTTTCCATACTGTCATTTTAATATTAAAATCAACATTAAATTTCTCCTCATCAAATATATTTGACTGAGTCCATTGAATGTTCTTGCCTAATACATACAGTGTCTGGTCACAATCAAGAATGGGGATCTGAATTGGGTTCAAGTGCTAAACTGTATTATTACCAGGAGAGTAAATATCGTTTTTTCACTTTATTGACAAAATATCCAAATCTCTCCAGTATGCATCACAAATTCCGAAAAACTTGAAATGAAATGTTATTTCGATTACAATCACATAACCTGTACTAACAGTTTGGTGTCACATACCCATATAGCAGCTGATCTGACTCTGATGCCAGGATTAGGAGAAGTTGCTTTACGTAGTTTTTAGATTTTCCAACTTCATTACAGATGAAGAACATATTTTCCTCGTCTGAGTGTCAGTTTCCTGAGACATACTTTGTTTCTTTTCGACATTAGTTGTTGACTCATTTGACTCACTAAATTTTCACTTTTGGACAGCACAGTTATATTGTATTTCAGGTTGCAGTTGAAGTTAGCTGATCTGTTTGATAATTATACATATATATATAACGGGCATTACAATAACCGCTGCGAGTTTACCTGATATCGAAATATAAAAACAAAGAAATGCTTAAATGTGGTGGATATACACGGGTTGATATGTGTATTCTGCTAGGGTCCACAAATAAGAGACTAACATGTTTAGCTGGACACAAATATAAAGGTATTGGGTTCAGGTTACAGTGTTCTCGCAAGTGACTGTAAAATGTCTCACAAAATCAGAGAGTTTCCATAAATCTTCAAACATAATTGGTTAAAAATGTTAATGAGCTTAGCTCAACATTTGCGAAACAAAAAACAAAATAAACTCTGTCTAGCATAGTCACAGACAGACACACTTTCTCTTTTTCTAGCGAAGCTGCTCTAGTCGTCATTATGACGACTGCCAAAATCATTACATTCTATCGGAAATCTCTACTCTTTCACTTTCCCAGCAACTCCATATTACAACCTGTTCTTAACATGGCAACCACGTGCATACAGCTGATACTTAGAAAATAATAACAATAATAACTAAAAAACTAACATTTTAACTATATCTCGCTATAAAACTATTGCATATTAAACAGACCTTACCAGTAATATGTTAATGCATAACTATAATAACTTTTTAACATCAAGTATGTGCAATTTAACATATTATGTAAATGATTTGCTATTTCTTTAATACGTAAACAAGAAGTATCTCAGGTAGGTAAAATGTACCATTAATAAAACAGTCTACCTGAAACAATTACAATTTGGGGAGAAGCAGTTTCTTTTCCAGGTATACAATGTGAGGCTCTTTGTGTCTGCTATCACAGACACTCTAGACCCATCCCCTTTCCTATCTTCTATGTGCCCCATAATAATTGGTCCCGCGAAATACTGGAGACAGGTAATTGTTTCCGAATCCCTGACTACATATGAATAGATAGCGTTGCCGTTTATCCAGTTAATGCATGTATATAGATGACGCTAATTTATAGTCCGGTGACTCGCTGTACAAATAGTTATTTTTCTCAGTTTTACGAACTGGTGCTAACAGATTCTTGTGAAAAAGGTCTTGCATTTATGGACCTGAAAAGAATTGTAGATAGCGCCTAGAAATATGAATGTCGAATTAAATGTATTGTTATAATCGCTAACTATAAAAGGCTCATTCCCTTTGTCACTCTGTCGAGCACGCTTTCACGCTCCTATTCTGGAAATATTCAACAATATACATCGTCTCTTAGCAACAAAACTATCACCTGATTGTTCTTAGGCGTTCTTTGGTATTTGAGTTGAATGCTCAATATTCACGTTGATTCGTTAGAAAGGTTTGATTTTTTATTCTTTATTTTTAATAACTTCGCTGATATAACAGCAAAATAGTTTAATTCAGAAGTTTTATGACATTGAGCTGTAGTTAAAAGCAAAATAGAATTTACCAAGTAGTGTTGTAACTAAGCCTTACGTTACGTTTATGTATTAGGCTTTATGCTTAAATTAGACTACAAATAGGCCTACAATTACTAACGTTATAGAACCATTATTTAAATAGTTTTAAGAGTGAATAAATGTTAATTAATAAATATTCTGTTGGCATTTTAACACATATATTATCTAACTTTGCCTTTAAACATAAAGAAAAATAAACGTTTATTACTACCAAATATAATTTATCCTCTGTACGGTCAAAAGAGTTTAAAATTTGTGTCGGAATGCCCGCTCTATGTTTTTCACTTCCTGACCTTGAACACGCTCAAGAGTGCTATTTAAGTCTCCTTCAGAGTGCACACGTACTTTTGTTTACGATAACATTTCATTCCTCTGCGTAGGTTTTACTAAAAATGTGGTGATTAAAAAATTACTTCGAGACTGCATTTTGGAGGTACAGACAATTTTGTTTTAGATAAATTATATAATTTTCGTTAATCATTCAACAATGATTTCCCGTCATTTTTGACGGGCTTTTATACTAGCTAATCATATAAACTTTGCTAAGTCCATCGGTTTGACGTACTGCAAATAGTAAAATCGAGTTTTTCTTAGCATTTTGAGACCTTGTTTGATTAGATAAACTGATGTTTGCACATTTATTACCATTTTATGTAATTCTGTGAATTATGATGAAGAAAGGGGGTAGGGGTAAGGTGTTTTATCCCATAGTTACCAAAACAGTTTTAGAGTACTCTACAAATTCGTAAAACTGTAACCTAGAAAACTGGAGGCAAAATGCACATGAAGCATATAATATTATGCTGTGATATTAGTTAATTTTTCTGTTGTTTTGCATGTAAATTATTCATGGAGATAACACTCAAAAACCCTTAAACTGGTATATTGCTCGGTTAGATCGGCCAACAGTGGCGATATAGGCTACTAAGAGGCATTGAACAATTGACACTATAGCAGAAATATGTTAAGAATTAAAAGTGTATAAGTATGCAAAGTTTCACATTTGTAGAAAAAAGTGCACAATCTTGCCTATTTTTTTAAGCATATTCGCAGGGCAACTGCATTATATTGTGTTAAATTACTAATATTTACTGTATATTATTCAACGTTTTTATTCTTTAGAATTTTCAGTTTTCCAATCTCCAAAATAAAACATTGAAATATACACTAGGATAATTCAATTCTAAAGCAATTATTTCTATTTTTGCATTCAAAATTAACAATATAAATAACAAATAAAATGATAAGAATATTCAGCCATATTTTATGTTCATAAAGCCTAAGTAATGGCAATGCCACAAAAATGCTTTTATTTTCTTCTAACCATTTCCTAATAATATTTTCACTTTGTGTTTACTTACTGATTAATTATATCATATTACAAATTGCAGCTTTTACAGTAAATGAAATTTATTTTTAGAACAGGTACGACATTTCGATCACTGGTGCGATCATTCAAATCATTTCAAATCTTACTTACTGTAAAAGTTGTAACTTGTAATATAATATTTCCTAATAAGTATAGGGCACGTATAAATTCAATCAGGTTTCCATTGTAATGCTCACCTTACATAGAATTGAAATTGTAGATTTTATAACATTAACATTGGTATTCAAACATGAGTAGGAGTGTTCTAAAGATGTTAATATTCTTTGGCTGATATATCACAAGTAGTATTAAATAAATCTCAATTACTAAGCATACTTTGTTGCTTATCACTATATGATTTACATCCTATTTATTCACATTCTTAACTGTTCTTTGTACCAATTGCTGACGGAAATATTTTGTGAGTTATAAGTACCTGTTGTTCTTGATACTTGTTTATGTGCATAATATGTGTTGAGTGTTTAAAACTTTTATATTCCTATTTCTATGTATGTTAGTACTTATCAGTTCTTCAACATTTGTTTCTACACATATTAATATTCGCCGGTTCTCTTTGCGTGACAAAATCTGTAGCAATTATACACTTCAATGCTAACAAAATAATTCTTTTAATGTTATTTTAGGTAAACTTCTTACTGTAAGTATATAATGGTAAAATATGTTAAGGCCTATTAACGGAAACGCTTTGCTGATAATTTTGTAAATTTCAAGGTATTTCAAACTAGCAAACTTTGGCAATGCTGCATGGTTATGCTTTTATTTTCTAATCAATGATTTAGTTTGAACTTCTTTTGTATGTTTTAACAATTTTATAAGCAGTAACTAAGGGGCTGAAAAGGAAAGGATTACTAAACTAAAAAGAAAGGATACGGAGGACTAATATACTTGGAAATTTGTGAATTGTGAAGTTCTTGAGACAGGTCTGCCTGGTTTTGCACTTCGAGCAATACTAAAAAGAAATAATAATAAAAAAGGCCAATATTAATATCAAAGTGAAAAAGAACAAATTCTCTTCATCCTATTACTTCAATGAAGTAATCTGAAAAAAAAAAATCCAATAATCATATATAAGTACTTGGCTACCTCTGTAGTAAAACAAGTGATATTTCGAACATTAGAACTGACTCTCTTATTTATTATTCTATTCAAATGTGACATCATACCAAAGCATGAGACTGGAAGATAGCTCCATACCAGCAGTCATGAGACTGGAATATGCTTCAAAATCAGTTCTCATGAAGCAAAACGTAAGTCAATAATTGTATTCAAGCATAGAATGAAAATGCTAAACAATTTGAGCAGGACATACATAATCTTCACAACTTAAAATCTCTTCTTCGTGAAATCCCAAAAGTTTAATGTTTTGTGTCTGGACTCCAAACTCTTATTGAATTGTCGAACGCATGTAGCAGGCGTCAGTAGATATTCCAGCATTTCAGCATCCAAAGGATGGCACCTCACGCTGATTGGCTGCCTCAGGGAGGGAGAAGAGGGTGGAATGATGCTATCAAAGACATCATTGTTCTACAAAGTGTCATACTTAACACTAAATTATTAGTTCTTTACGTTTTCTCACCATTTATATTTAAATTGTCCTAAAAGGATGATATCATGAAATAATTAAACTTACTGTTTGGCTCTTTAATTATAAATCAAGTGAGTGCATTATTAGGGGCGAAACGTTGTACATTTGCTGTTATGTTAAACTTATATTAAAGTTGTTCTTCGTTACCCATTCAAGCAGTCTCCAACCATTATTATTCACTCTTGTCAATGCTGATCTCAAATATAGCCACAAATTCATCATGAATAAATATGTTACAAGAATGATGAGTTTTACTAAGATCATCTAGTTCACACTGTTCTTTATTCAGTACTTGTAAAATAGGTACATTTGTTTAACGTATATATTAATAAGACTTGGTTTAATCTATTTATTCAATTACTTTTCATTATGAACTATAGTGTTTAAGTAAGATGAGAAATTTGTGCACATAAATTCTGCCATTCTGAATTTGATAAAACAAAAATAATCTTATTAGAGAACATGTGAATACCATGATAATCAAATTGATACGCAAACAAAATAGAGGAGATATTAATAACAAATACAACACGAATTACACGATTCCGTCCTTACTCGAATAATGTAAGGAAAATACACACTGTCTATAATGCAAAGCTCCTGGGCTTTCTTCTATCTTAATATACACTATGATGAAAATGTGATAAATGTTGTTTACATAAAATAATACACCTAGCACAAGTTATATTGATTGCATAAAGTTAAACAAGGGAAAGTGTAAGTTTTAATTAATGAATAATATGTAATAAATGTTGTTTTTTTCTAGACTGTTTACATATAACTGGTCAGGAAATGTATAGAATCAATGAGTTAGTGTCAAGCATCTTTTTTAGGATGATTTAAATATAAATGATCAGGAAATTGAATTAACTAATGAATTAATAATTTAAACTGACTGTATTGAATATAGTCATTTTGAAATATGTTGATCAAATCTGTACTGTTTCCACTTTGTGGAACTATGTTGTCATCGTCTTTTGTGACATCGCCTCCTCCCTGAGGCAGCCAATCAACGTGAGGAGGCATCATTTAGATGCTAAAGTGAGGGGAAAACTACTGAAGTCACTGTAGCTTCATCACCCAAGTTAATCTTGATAAGGTAATACATTCTTGGAAATCATGTATTCCATGATCAAGTTGAGTGTTAATTTCGACATTTACTCGAATAATGTAAGAAAAATACACACTGTCTATAATGCAAAGCTCCTGGGCTTTCTTCTATCTAAATATGTGATAAATGTTCTTGGCATAATATAATACACCTAGCACAAAGGTGGCATATGGATTAAATTGTCGCCTATATTAGTATCAAAGATCTTACATCGAGAATTAGTGACATACATGTTATATTTATAATACTTGGAAAACACGTAGGATAAAATGTTTTATAAATTATAATGAATTCAGCACAATATCCATAACAATTCCAGAGAGTATACCTTTGTGTTTCAGGTAAGAAGCAAAATGGGACTGTCAGAACAATATATATATATAACACATTTCAAACGTCCCTCCCACGATTCAGTAATTTATCAGATTGCTGAGCAGGCACTCGGAAATAAGTAATATGAAATTAAGATTAAAAGCGACAGCACTGATTTTACTATACTGCCTTCAATCAGTTGTCGTTTGGAGGAATACGAGAAAAGTAATCTATATACATCAAAGAAATAGGTAATACTTCGAAATTTGTTGAAACTGAAAGTATAACAAACAAATGAAATGTATACAAATTCACTGAACTCATATTCAGCGACTATAAAAACTGTTTAGACTATCAAAATTTTGAGACTCGTTAAAAAGAACTGTACAGAGCAAAATCTCGATTAAGTTATATTTAAAACAGGAAAAAGTAAAATGAAAAAAGAACATGAATTATTGGTCACAAAACACTTCAAGACGCAGGTACACAAAGCTATTCCAAAATCAACAACATTTTGTGACTATTTTTATAGAAAAGAATCATTTAAGATTATATCAGGCAGCCTTTTGACGTCATTGTTATTACATAAAGTCATGAAACCATTAACACAATAAGTATACTTTTGTTTTGTTATTTTCAATTATTCTTTCATATAAATATATATTTATGTGTGTGTGCAATATTTCTAGCCCTTTAATACAAAACACAAAACAGTAGTAATGGAGATTACTCTTACCGTGAACTCTTTACTGAAAGAGATCTACCCTCAATCGAAATTAATTTTTCAGTAGAACCATCTGAACTACTGCACGAACAACTTTATCAGGGAAACGTTAATATAAATATCTAGTTAATTTTCAGTAGAATAAAAACCTTAAAGCATTATTGGTTTGTCTTCATTAAGAAATAACTTACTGGTTTTTCATCCCCATCAAGTTTCTCTTCTTTTGTAAATAATTCGAGACACTGCTGGAGGGTGACTCGACTTCCACACTACAAATAAATAATTATAAACTTTCCTTTTGAATAAAGTTTTCAGAATAACTAATTATTATATACTAACAAAGAATGAGCTAAAAGAACTACTTCATCAAGTTCTAATTATTCGCATTCAAATACATTAGTAAGGTAATTGTGAAGGCATAAAAAGGTACCCTTATTTCATATATCTAATGCAGCCCAACAATCATCTCCACTGTTGAATATTTTTCTAAACTACATGTTCACGTTATGTCTCTATCTACTTCTCTGTGTGCTCTGCAACCTTGTAGTAGGTAATTTATCCTATAAATTTAACGAAATAGCACATTTAAGAAAACGTAGCTGAATCTAAATATTATTCAAACAATTTGATAACAGGGTGCTGTTTGTTATGATACTGGTTTCAAGAACATAAATAATTACATTTTTAAGATAATAAACATAGAAAATCTACTTCAGCAACTGTAAGAGAAACATACATCAGGTAACAAAAATCACATGATGACTATCTGATAACTGCAATATTTGCTATCATTGCCCAGATAGCTCGATACATTAGATAACAGAAATTGTATCATGACTAACTGAGAACTGCAGTATCAGCTCTCGTCTTTCAACTAGCTCGATACATTAGGTAACATAAGTTGTATCATGCATATCAGTTCCCATCGCCCAGGTAGCTCGATACATAAAATAACAGAAATTGTATCATGACTAACTGAGAACTGCAGCATCAGCTCTCATCGCCCAGCTAGCTCGATACATTAGGTTACATAAATTGTATCATGCATATCAGTTCCCATCGCACAGCTAGGCGATAGGTTAGGTACCAAAAATCGTATCATTTTAATACTAGAAATAAACGACCTTATAACACCAAATTTATTTTTCTTTAATTGGACACTCAACGTTTCGCTTTACAGTTTCTTCAGGAGCGTTCTACTAAAACACAAATCGTAACATACCGTTACGGTTTCTCTTTTATTGAAGTGCTCCTGAAGAAACTGAAACATTGACTGTCTTATTAAAGTAAAATATCAAATTATAAGGTATTATAAGTTCGTTTATTTCTATGGTAAAATGTCTTCTATACACCAATATGCACAACAGAAATTTAAAAATCGTGTCATGATTTACTAGGAAATGCAGTATCAGCTGTCATCGCCAGCTAATTCGATACATGAAGTAACAAAAAACGCATTAGGACTAACTAGAAACTGGATTATCAGGTCTCATCGCCCAACTAGGTCGATCACAGAGGTAGAGCTCATGATAGACTTCAAGTAGTTCCAAGATAAACTTTTACATTTTTCATTCCGATAAAGAGTTTCAAGTTATTCAGTGATATATCTAAACTTAGTTGTTAATATCTTTACCCTGGAAAGCTGAATAGCTTAAAACTGTATTTCGGATGAAAACAAAACTATGTCTGTCTATAATCTATTGTAGTGGTATTTCAATGTTCTGTCTAAACGCACGTATTATTCATACATAGTAAGTCACTCTAAATACAGGCCACAAACAGTTTAGTAATACGAAATGTTAGCCCTAAATATAAATATATAAATCTTTCAATGAATAGGAAATTTGGTGTTTCGTGAGGAACTCAAGTTATCAATATTGTAGGCTTTTTTATTTTTCAACTAAATTAACATTACAATGAGAGGTTTGAAGACACAAATTTTACATATTTTTCTTTATTTCAATCACATTACAATAAGAAAATCCATCATAATCAACTAAAAAAGAAAATTCTACAAAACTATATTTAATTACCACACGAAAAAGCTAAATTTCTGTGTACACTTTTATGTTCAAACATGTGAATATTTAAGCCAAAATTAAATACAATCAAAAGTAAGGTACTTTTGAATATTTATATACTGAATATTAAGCTGTGGTATTGGGAAAAAAGCTTTTTGTTTCTTTAAGTGCACTATGAAGTTTTTCGATAACTGCTTAATAAATAAAATATATCACGCACACATATATAACCATTTAATTATTTCTTCACTCCTACGTAGCCCTTTACTACATCAAATTTCTCGGTAAACAGCATTATGAAAACAATGGACTTAAAAGACAACCCTATGATTCAGGCATACTTTTTCCAGTTTTCAAATGCGGGCCAGAGCGAAGGCAACTGTGCGTTAGTAGTAAATCAACCGTCGATAAATACGTAATTGACGTTTATATTTTGGAAGCTACCGTATTTTTCGGTGTATAAGACACACTTTTTTTACCCCAAAATGTGATGTCAAAATCTGCTTGCGTCCTATACACCGAAGGTATGAATAGTATATATACGACATATACAAGCCACGTGTAAATATATTCAAATAAGCATGCATATTTTAGTTCAATTGAATGTGTTATTTATAACAATAGTAGTTTTTTCTTTTAAAAACATAACTATTTATAATGCTCCCTAAATAATGAAAAAATAAATTATAATAATGGGTGATAGTGAAAAAGCTTGTAAATACACGACGATCCCTGTTTAATGTGGAGCAGAATAA